TTGTTGTTTGGCGGGTCTGGGCTGGGGACTCGAACCCGCCACCTTAGGTGTACGTGGCTGGCGCCTTAGCCGGTTGAGCTATAGGCGCCGAGCCCGCATTCTGGTTTTAAACTTCATACCTACCCTTCTAGCCAAAAAATGAGATAGACCCACATCTACCTGAAAGGACCCAAGGAAATAGGAATAAGGAGTTTAGCATCTATTTTTGCCAAAGTACAGTGTAAGGAAGTGGAAGACAAGTTTCCTTATTTACTGACTTGAGATGTTAAAGAGTCCTAGATTAATAAAGTTAAAATGGAGACAGAGGGTTCTGAGCTGATAATTTTGAAGGGATTTTGTTTGCCATTAAGCTAGAACTATGTGTAGTTCATTAAATTATAATTTACCAAAGTAAAAATAAATATAGAATACATTTGTCCAGATGGGGAAACAAACCAAAAAGGGAGACATAATGGCTGAAGGCCTGGAAAAGGCTGAATATGTACATGAAAAGGGAACTTGAGGATTACAATTTGAGGCCCCATGCTTGTTTAGGTTTCTAGATGATTTCTAATTTCCCAGTTTGATTCCCTTAACTGCAGAATCCCCTAATTCTGGCTGTGATGGGGTCATAAGCTTACTTACCCAGATCTATCCTTATCATCTGTTTCTTTGGGCAAGTCTGGGATGCAGGACTGCGCCCTCTGGTGGAGAAGAACAAGACTAACTCTATATCTGATAATAGCCACTTGGGACATGTTTGCATCAATTGCTAGCCATTTTAACTTTTGGGAAAGTTGCTTAATTAATCTCCTTATCTATAAAATTGTAATAATGGAAATACCTTATGTGGCTGTGAGGGTTAAATAAGATAATTGGTGAATTAGTGTTCAACATACTATCTCTACTATTATTCCCTCATTTGTTCAACATATATTTTCTTTTTTGCAGTTTTTGGCCAGGGCTGGGCTTGAACCCGCCACCTCCGGCAGATGGGACCGGCGCCCCACCCCTTTGAGCCACAGGTGCTGCCTCAACATATATTTTCAACAAAGGCACTGAGCTAAGTATTCAATACATATAGTAGCTATCACTGCGGTGATTTAGTTATTTTTGTCAATCCGTATTATTATGTAATTACATATCAGAACCTATGCATTGTATGTGAGCCACTACAGTAAATAAGACAGAAGCTTCAAGACTCTGGATAAATATTTCTAGTTCCAACAATAGGACTCTCTTCTCCTTTATGAGTTCTTTGGGCATTTTCAATGAAATCTTTTCAATGAAAGAGATCACTGTCATATGCCTTCCTGCAACACACCAGGTTCTGGATGACTAAAAGATGGCAGGGGGTTATATGGCAGGAGGTTATCAAAATGTGAAAAGCTGTGGCCCCATATACAGGCCAGAGATAAGGTGTTCGTGATAGGGGCTCTTTCTCTTTTATTTATTTTCTTTCCCTTCCCTTCCCTTCCTTATCTCCCTCCCTCCCCCATCCTTCCAGAAGACCCTAATGTACCAGTGGAAAAAGTTCTGCTGGGCCTCTTTGCCTTTTCCTTGCTGAAACAGTGGGGGCCTTTCTGCTGTTTGTGGCAGACGTACCTTGCTCTGTAAGCCTATACCTTGTCCTTACTCTGTAAACTTTTCTTTTTCTTAATAAACTTTGTTTCATGCTTGCCTTAAAAAAAGTTAGACTGGCTTGGCGCCTGTAGCTCAAGCGGCTAAGGTGCCAGCCACATACACCTAAGGTGGTGGGTTCAAATCCCCAGCCTGGGCCCGCCAAACAACAATGATGGCTACAACCAAAAAATGGCCAGGCGTTGTGGCGGGTACCTGTAGTCCCAGCTACTTGGGAGGCTGAGGCAGGAGACTCGCTTGAGTCCAGGAGTTGGAGGTTGCTGTGAGCATGATGCCATGGCACTCTACCCAGGGGGATAGCTTGAGGCTCCGTCTCAAAAAAAAAAAAAAAGTTTGACTGAAGTAGTAGGGGAAGAATTCTGCTATAACAGGAGGAAAAAAATAGACACAAAGCAACACAGACCAAAATTTCCATCCCAGATTTCCCACCAGACACGAGAAGAAAGCTAGGGAATTTGCCTCTTCCTAGTGTGTAAGGAAAACCCAGCTCTTTGGATTTCTTCCTATTCTTGGCTGTTAGCAGGGTGTCAGTCAGCCAGTTCCTTCTGATTTGAGACAGGTTAGGGAGTAGAAAAGGAATAAGATTCCTTAGGCTTCAGTCTTGCAAGTATTTACCAGAGGGAAGGAAAGAAAGTAGCTTTTATCATGATTCATCCTCAGAGAGGATAAGCTAAAAAAAATCAGACCTGGCCAGGCATGGTGGCTTACACCTGTAATCCTAGCACTTTGGGAGACCCAGGTAGGAGGATTTCTTGAGGCCAGGAGTTTGAGACCAGCCTGAGCATCAGAGTGAGACCCTGTTTCTACAAAAAAAAAAAAAAAAAAAAAATTGAAAAATTAGCTAGGCCTGGTGATGTGTGCTTGTAGTCCCAGCCATTCAGGAGGCTGAGGCAAGAGGATCATGTGAGCCCAGAAGTTGCAGTGAGCTATGATCACACCATTGCTCTCCAGCCTGGGCAACAAAGGGAAATCCTGTCTCAAAAACAAACAAACAAACAAACAAACAAACCAACCCAGACCTTTCCCAGTGCCAGCATTCATGTTATCTCATGCTCCTAAATGTCCTCTTCTGTTAACTAAGCTTTAGTGGGAGGCACCAGACCCCAGGAATAGGGACAGCAGGGTGGAAAAAAGAACCTTTTATGGCAATAAGAAATAAAAGTTATTTTTTAGGCCAAGGTGGGTGGATTGCCTGAGGTCACATGTTCAAGACCAGCCTGAGCCAGAATGAGACCTTGACTCTAAAAAAAAAAAAAAACAGTCAGGTGTTGTGGCGGGCAATTGTAGTCCCAGCTACTCAGGAGGCTGAGGCAAGAGAATTGAAGAGTTTGAGTTTGCTATGAGCTGTGACACCACAGCACTCTCTACCT